TCCTCGCGGATGAGGACCGTTGATTTATTCTTTCAGATCGGCCTCAGTGCCGACATCATTTCATGGCCACCGACCCCCTGGTACGGTGCCATCATCATATTCGAAGGGCGGCCTCGTTCCCGCTCCTCGCGGATGAGGACCGTTGATTTATTCTTTCAGATCGGCCCAAGCGCCGACATCATTTCATGGCCATCGACCCCCTGGTACGGTGCCATCATCATATTCGAAGGGCGGCCTCGTCCCCGCTCCTCGCGGATGAGGACCGTTGATTTATTCTTTCAGATCGGCCCAGCGCCGACATCATTTCATGGCCACCGACCCCCTGGTACGGTGCCATCATCATATTCGAAGGGCGGCCTCGTCCCCGCTCCTCGCGGATGAGGACCATTGATTTATTCTTTCAGATCGGCTCCCAGCGCTGACATCATTACATGGCCATCGACCCCCTGGTACGGTGCCATCATCATATTTGAAGACCAGCCTCGTCCCCGCTCCTCGCGGATGAGGACCGTTGCTTATTTCAGATCGGCTCCCAGTGCCGACATCACTACATGGCCACCGACCCCCTGATACGGTGCCATCATCATATTTGAAGACCGGTCTCGTGCCCGCTCCTCGCGGATGAGGACCGTTGATTATTTCAGATCGGCCCCCAGCGCTGACATCATTTCATGGCCACCGACCCCCTGGTACGATTCCATCATCATATTTGAAGACCGACCTCGTCCCCGCTCCTCGTGGAGGAGGACCGTTGGTTATTTCAGATCGACCCCCAGGGCCGACATCTTCACATGGCCACCGACCTCCGGGTACGGTGCCATCACCATATTCAAAGACCCCTCAAAAAAAAGGAAAAAAAATCAGAGGGGCACTAGGGAATCCCCAAAGGGGATAAACCCGTTCCTCATCACAATCGCGGCCGAGCTCAGCTCAGGATCCAAAGGACCGGGCCAAATGGGCAAGTAAGCGAACGGATGAAGAGACGAAGAAATGGGGAATCTCCAAAGGAGATAAACCCATTCTGCATCACAATCGCGGCCGAGCCCAGCCCAGGATCCAAAGGACAGGGCCAAATGGGCAGGTAAGACGAGCGGATGACGAAACAAAGTTAAGACTCCTCCAAAAAAAAAATAGAGGACCAACGGGGAATCTCCAAAGGAGATGAACCCGTTCCGCAACACAATCGCGGGCGAGCCCAGCCGAGGATCCAAAGGACCTGGCCAAATGGGCAGGTAAAACGAGCGGATGACGGAACGAAGAAACGGGGAATCCCCAAAGGGGATAAACCCGTTCTGCATCACAATCGCCGCCGAGCCCAGCTCAGGATCTTAAAGACCGGGCCAAATGGGCAGGTAAGACGAGCGGATGACAGAACAAAGCTAAGCCCAAAAAACAAATATTATATATGGGATGGGGAAGATCTTCAGAGGACCCGAGGGCCTGGAGACGAGCATTTCCATTCCAGAGGACCCGAGGGCTTGGAGACGAGCATTTCCACTCTAGAGGCCGAGGGCCTGGAGACGAGCATTTCCACTCCAGAGGCCGAGGGCCTGGAGACGAGCATTTCCACTCCAGAGGACGAGGGCCTGGAGACGAGCATTTCCACTCCAGAGGCCGAGGGCCTGGAGACGAGCATCCCCACCCTTGAAGACCCAAAAAGAGAGAGAGAATGAGCTAGGTACAACGAGCCGATGAGGACGACCATCTTTTGCAGCACGATCAGCCCCTCAGCGTCGACGTGTCTAGCTCACGGTTCGGCTCGTACATTCCTTCCAGGATGGCGACCACCGTCTTATGCAGCACGATCGGTCCCTCAGCGCCATCGTGTCCACTTCACGGTTCGGCTCGCCCATCCCCTCCAGGATGGTGACCACCGTCTTATGCAGCATGATCGGCCCCTCAGCGCCATCATGTCCACTTCACGGTTCGGCTCACCCATCCCCTCCAGGATGGCGACCACGGTCTTATGCAGCACGATCGGCCCCTCAGTGCCATCGTGTACAGTTCACGGTCGGCTCGTACATTCCTTCCAGGATGGCGACCACCGTCTTATGCAGCACGATCGGTCCCTCAGCGCCATCGTGTCTAGTTCACGGTCGGCTCGTACATTCCTTCCAGGATGACGACCACCGTCTTATGCAGCACGATCGGCCTCTCAGCGCCATCGTGTACAGTTCACGGTCGGCTCGTACATTCCTTCCAGGATGGCGACCACCGTCTTATGCAGCACGATTGGCCCCTCAGCGCCATCGTGTCCACTTCACGGTTCGGCTCGCCCATTCCTTCTAGGATGGCGACCATCGTCTTATGCAGCATGATCGCCCCCTCAGCGCCATCGTGTCCACTTCACGCTTCTGCTCGCCCATTCCTTCCCTGGATGGCGACATTCGTCTTATGCAGCATGATCGACCCCTCAACGCCATCGTGCCCAGTTCACGGTCGGCTTGTACATTCCTTCCAGAATGACGACCACCGTCTTATGCAGCACGATCGGCCACTTAGCGCCATCGTGACCACTTCACGGTTTGGCTCGCCCATCCCTTCCAGGATGATGACCACCGTCTTATGCAGCACGATCGGCCCCTCAGCGCCATCGTGTCTAGTTCATGTTTAGCTCGTCCATACCATCCAGGGGGACGACGAACGTCTTATGTAGCACGAACGGCCCCTCCGCTCCATTCGTGTCCGGTTCTTGTTCGACGTAAGACCACACCATGGCAAAGTAAGACCATATCTCGGCAAGGTAAGACCATACCGTGGCAACGGACGTCTTATGCAGCACGCTCGGGCCCTCAGCGTCGTCGTGCCCGGTTTACCGATGACATTCACTGCTTTGTATCACATCTTACATGCCCTCTCTCATACATGGCACTCATACATCACATGCATTCATACATTCATGCATCATCTCTCATTGTGCAAGGACCTCTAAGCTTCTCCATTGGAAAGCTCGAGTCAGAGTCCTCTACTCCCATCTGGTACATTCAGAGGGAGAGTGTCCGGGGAAGAGCATCCCTTGCCCGACCCCGACGGGAGGGGAGCGCCTTACCGGCAGGTTATATTCAGAGGGGCAGACACCCACTCATATGCTATGGTTATTTGAAGACACAGTTTCCAGCAAGACAGAGGGAGAGCGCAGGCAAGAGTATATTTTCTCGAGCAGATTCGCACGCTCACTACTCAAGAAATTGAGGGACTTGTGTTGGGATATATCATCCCGGCCTATTACTGGTCAGGAGCCCAAGAGGTCCATTTCGGCCCATTCGGCCCGTTAGGGTGGAGCACCCCTCCCCCTTTCCTCTATAAATAGGAGGATTCCCCTCCTTATTAACGGTCCTTTTTTTTATCCCTCTTTCTCCCCCCTTCTATATAGTTAGCTTGAATCGTCCATTAATGGAGCTTGTATAATGTATTGGTGAGGAGAGCAGTAATAAAAGGAGCGGGCTTGGACATTAGCCTAAACAGTCCCGTGGTTTTCTCCCTTTCCGGGTTTCCACGTAAAAATCATTGTTTATATTTTATTATCACCCCATAACCATGAAACCCTCCCGGAAGAGGTGTTGAACTTCCGGGCTGCGGCGAATTAACCTCAACACCCATATTTAATTTTTTTTACATGTATCATATTTTCTGACTCACTTATATGATATCTATATTTTTTAAATTTAAAATCTTGTATTAGGAATCATTACTTTGTAGATAAAAAGCAAAGTGACATGTTATCAGATTTTTGTGCATACCTATACATAAAAGATACGATGAAAAGACTTTTGCAAATGACAAACTAAATAGCTAAATGTGTGAATCTTCTAGACTTTTTTTTGTAAAAATGTAATCTTATTTTGGTTCTTATCAAGCATTGTAGGGAGAAATTGTTACTATCCGTAATTCCGTAGAAGCCAATTGATATTGGAGACCAAGTTGATGATCAGTTGTATCACATTGTTTTCGGTGGACAAAACTATGGATGGACTCGGGCCGGATGGCCCGACCCGGAACCAGTCCGGGAACGGCACTATTCCGGCCCGGCCCGACCCGGTGTCCCGGTCAGTGACCGGTCCGGGTAGGCCTGACCCATGGATTTTCCGGTCCGGGTTCGGGTCACCCAAAACAAGGCCCGACCCGGACCCGACCCGGACCCGAGTCCACCCCTAGACAAAACCATAAGAAGAAGATAATTAATGGATTTGGCTCATACGGGAAACATTTTATCAGATTCAAGTATTAGAAATTTAGAACACTCTTCAGAAGCTCCACAATCGTGTTGATGCAGATGATTTGCAATCTGAAGTTCAAAGTTGGTGTCACGTTATTCAAGAGAAATAAGGCCAGTAATGCTGGACTTGCAATTAGTGAGTGATTTCTTTGGATTTATTTGCAATTAATTAAAAAAATCAATTAGAAGGTTGTGTTTTATTTTTAAGATGATAGATTTCTATGCATATTGAATATATAATGGGTTATGGGTACATAAGTACATTTGTACATGAATTTAAATTAAAGGGATGCTGAAAAAATATTGATTACTATTCCGTTTTTGTTAACTAATATCACTAGGTCTTGTAAAAACGTCCAATATCACTAGGTAATATTATAGGGGTGGACCAGGCCCGGGTCAGGCTGGGGCGGGCTCCTAGTCCTGAATATTCAGGCCCGATACAGCCCAGGTTTGTACTGGGCTGGGGACAGGGCCCAGTCGGGTCAGGCCTCAATTTTGTTTTTTGGGTCTTTTTGAATTAATTCCAACCCCCACCCCCAAAACCCACCCCCAAACCGCACAGCCCAATGAGAAAAATTAAAAAAAAAGTAATTGGTCCCAGACGGCCGGACCAGACCGATACACCATTTAATCATTTATCAAGCCCGTAGCCCGCCTATTTAATCCCCCGGTTCGGGCCTCAGTCCCGGCCCGCCGGGCCAGCATAGTAACAGGCCAGGTCCAGGGTCAGGGTGAACCGGCTCAATCCACCCCTAGGTAATAATAACATCAAGACATCAATGGTCGTTCAAAAAAAAAGACATGAATGTATAGCATATACTACGTACTTGTCTTAACATCTTATTGGATACAAAAGCCATGGTTACGCGTAAAGCTAACACATCAAGCAAAAATACCCAAGTCTAAATAAATGAATGCAAATTCATTTCAATGGCTTATAAAATCGGACTCGGAGAAACACATGATAAACTGATAAAGCGACCAATTTTCTTCGTTTTTATCCTTATTTTTTACTATTGATACATATCGACGAAGGCCATTTGTTTTACAATTGCATCCTTAATGGCCTCCACAGATTCAAAACCCTTCCGCGTTTCCACATGCCACGGATCCCACCTCCTTTGAAGGGGGGCTGATTGCATAATTAACACCACATCATTTACTATAACAACCATAAAAGACTACTTTTTTTATGAGACCCTTTATTTTCTCCTTTTTTTAAGATTTTAACTTGTTTTTTTCATACTTTGGGCTGCACTTTGCGCAGCCGCTGACATGGGAGGGTACAATCCGACGGTGTTGAGTTCCCACTTCGAATGAACCAACACCTCCTGATGCACCCCAGTCTGAGTTTGCATGTTCTTTAATCCTTCTTAGCTGCTACAACACTTTTGTGATCCTAATATATTTTCTGTTTGATGTTTTGATCCATTCAGCCTGTGGTGGCAAGCTGACATTGATTAATTTACAATCCCTCTCCCCTGCCTCATCGCTGCTGATATGTATGGATTGCTTCTGCTTCCTTAAGACTTAGATGCTGAAGAAACTTGAGACGGGTTATGATTTGTGCAAAAGAAGGCCGTGCCTGTGGATCTCTGCACAATTTTAAGCAAAAAGTGATACAGTAACTACAAAAAGAGTTTAGGACAATAATATATTGAAGTGATTTAGAGAAAAAGAGCTAACACCCAATTAAGTCCATTGACTACAAACTATTTCTCTGTTGTTTATTATGTAGTAGTTATTAGAAAGAATGACTAGAATACTACTAATGGCTTTGAAATAGACAAAAATATGACTACTTTTAATTTAAGACAAAAAAGAGACCAAATATTTGTTGATGGACTGAAATGCCCTGAAATAAATTTAACCCTATTCAACCTTCTCGATCACATTATTTCCATCATTTGCAATGGAGCCAAAGATTCATTATTTTTTGGCTTGAGATTATGATGGAATAAATAAAAATGGCTCACTAAACTGTCTGCGCTTCTTTGTTATGAAGCAGCAGTCAGTCCATGCAATTTTGGACGAGATTTTCACTATGGATCATCCGGAAACAATCTCTCGGTGCTTTAGTACAGGGGTAAGACTGCGTACATCTGACCCCCCCCCCCCCTACCCCACCGTAGGTAAATGAAAATGAAAATGAAAATGAACCTTCTCGATCACATCTGATCTCGCCGCAGCCTTCCTCTCATAGCTTCTCCTCCAGCCGCAACGTTGAAATTTCTCCAGCTGCAAGCAGATCTCCGCCGTTGCAGCACACTTCTTCTATGCGAACTGAAATTTTTGCTTCACATTTCTCTTTCTCCCCTGCTTGCCCTACTCCGACGTCTCCATCGTTCGTCTTCTCCTCCATCACTGAAACAGTTGCTGACTTCAACGATTGATGACCACAGGCGATTAATGACGACGAGCGACAAGGAGGGGCAACACCGATGGGGATCGATCTCTTCTTCGCCGGTTTCGGACACAGATCGGGGTGGTGCGTGCATCGAAGGTGATTGCAGATTAACAGTGATGGCTAGGGATGCGGCATCAGGTTTCTGAGCAATGAGGTAGTCTACGTCCAGAGATCAGGGCGGTGGTGGTGCTGCAGCGAGGCTTTTATCGGGTCCAACTGGGCATTGACGGGCTGGGTGTGTTCAGTGGATGGGTCAGGGGTAGATCTGTTGGTGTAAGGACAGGGGAGGGCGGGATGGGGGGTTGGGGTAGGGGTGGGGAAAGGTTGGGTCAGTTCCGGTGAGGTAAGTCACTGTGTAATCGGGTCACTATGTCACTGGAACAGGTGGTCACTGAAATGGCTGGGAATGTAGTCACTATAATCGGTGCAATGGTCATGGTGACCGGGGTGGTGGTTGGGGTGTTTGTCGCTGTGACCGGGGGTTGGTCACTGTGGCGACGGAGTGGTGTTGTTAACTTTGACGGTGGGGGTGGTCAACTGGTCACTATGATCGGTTGTTGGTCACTACCGCCGTCGGTGGTCACTACGATGGATGTCACTCCATCAAAAGTCACTGTCGTGGAAGTCACTGTGTCACATGTCACTATGGCAGATCAAGTCACCAAGGATTAGGGGTAATTTAGCAAGTGCAATGCTTATTAGTCACATTTTTGGAATTTTTTAAAAAAGGTCACTTTTTTGCCCATGACTAATTTTTTTAGTAATGTTTATGACATAACCCCTAGTTATTACCATAGAATTTTCAAGGAGAGGGCAAAGAAATAGAAAAATTAAGAAAGAGAAATGAAAAAGAAGAGTATTTGATTAGATGTAAAAGTAAAGTTTCCAAATTTGGAAAGTGTAACAAGTTTTTTTTTGACAAAACAGAAATTTTATTGGAAAGTGTAACAAGTAATTTCCTAAAAAGTAATGCCTAACAAATAAAAATAACAAAGGGAGAGTTACCCAGTTTGGTCGTTGACTATGAAATTAGACCCAATTTCATCCTTTTAGAGTAAAATGTGCGCACCAACTAAAATTAAGGACTTCTTTAATCGGAATTGTTTCAACCCGAGACCAGACTTAAATTATAATGAAGATCAAACCAAAATACATAATACTAGAATTAAATAGACCAAACCAAATTAGACTAAACCCGGCAAATTTACTGGACTAATTCGTAAAAGACCAAACTAGATGAAAAGGTCCTCCACTCAGTCTAAGTTACACGGTGAAGGACCAAGTTGAGTGATAATGTATAAAGGTATAAATAAAGTATTAACTATTTAAAAAGTAGACAAAAACTCACTGTTTCCAGCAGTCAGTTATAATCTCTGACACCATGGGATCAACCTGGGAGGGAATAATGAGACGTCTACCCTGAAAGCCTACAGCCCCTACGACCTGCATCGAGTTCATCCCTGACCATGGTACTTGCAGAGTCGCCAGCTCCCATAAGATTACACCAAAACTGTACACATCGGATCTGAAAAGGCAGCATATTAAAATCCTTAGCTGCAAATTATCAAGATTAGAAAAAATAATTGATAATATATTCAGGACCAGTAAGGGGTAGAGATTTGCCCGGGTGGTTGAATTTACTAAGGAATCTAAAATGGGCTTAGCGGACAAAACATTCTGAAATAAAGTTTTCGAATACATTATCATACCTAAAACAAGATGATAGTAGCACTTATCTTCTTTTCCATAATTTAAGAAAATGAATCAATTTTGCACTACCTTTTTTATTATATGTATGTTGACTAGGGTGGTTAGGTGATGTATACCGGATATTGTATCTCATACCTTTACCATACCGAAAATTTCGGCATATAAATAAGGGAAAACTATCAAATAAGCCCTCGTACTATACCGAAAAAGTCGATTAGGCCCTCGTACTTTACAAACACTCAATTAAGTCCTCGAACTATTAAAAAACGTTCAATTAAGCCCTTTCGGTCGGTAAGTAACCGGTTTCTCGGTTAAATGTAACCTATTTCCCGGAAGCCGCCGTTGCTGGGGTTCGAGCACATCGTCGTCATCGTCGTTGTTTAACCGGGAAATCGGTTACTTACCCACCAAAAGGGCTTAATTGAACGTTTTTTAATAGTTCGAGCACTTAATTGAGTGTTTGTAAAGTACGAGGGCCTAATCGACTTTTCGGTATAGTACGGGGGCTTATTTGATAGTTTTCCCTATAAATAAATATACCACTACCATACCGAAATACCAATATATTGAAATACGGTATACCGAAGTTTTGGTACAAGATGGGCAAAAATTTAATGTCAAACTGAAATTATAAAATAACATATTCTTATATGCCAAATGAAATATACAAAATCAGTGTTACTAGTGATATACTAAAACCATTGATAAAATATTTACAAAATACTAATAATAACCTATTAATGTCCTATACGATTTTGAACAAGAATTATTATAATTATGTTTCTACATTCAACGCGCTACATACTGAAAACACATTCTCCTTAAAGTAACTTAACAATGTAGATATAAATAAAATTGGTGATCTCCAATGAAAATTGAAAAAAGTAAAACTAGCTAATAGCACGGAAACGGGAAACGAGAAACGGGAAACGTGAGAAACGTAATTTCTAAAAACTTTAGAATATGAAATGTGGCAGAAACGCGTAAGTATTAAAAAATATAAGGATATATTTATAAATATTTTTTCATATATGTACACAAGTTTTTCATTAGTATATATATGCACATGAATTTTTCACATAACTTGTTTAATCACCCAATAATAAAATCATTCTACATGTTCAAATTTACAAATCATTTAATATTAGTACATAAGTAAACATAAAATGTAATCCATTCCTAACAATACATTGCGTGAAATATAACAATGTTGTTGCGGAGAAATATCACAAAAATTCACTTTTTCTAAAAAAGACACTATCTTCCATCACAGAATTTCTTAATTGGAAATTCTTAATCACGGAAACGGCCCCGGAATGGGAATTTGAAGTTTCCGAGTTTCTGAAACACTTCCGATTTCCGATACAGGGAAACGTGAGTCACGGAGAGTTTCTGTGCTTCATAGAGTAAAAGTAATTTAATGTTCAAACAACATGGATATAAAGTCATTTATCCTTTAGGTCATGTTGTGTTTCTAGCCATTTTTTATAATTTAAAAAAACAATGGATTGGACTTCCTGTAAAGCGGTATATCAATATACAGATTATTTTCAAAATATATATTGGTACCGTACAAAAATAATTTGGTACAGTACAATATTGTACCAAAAATGTCGTTATACCAAGAATTTCGGTAATTTTGATATTTTTCGATATGGTAAGTGTGGTATATACCAAAATTGCGATATTCCTCGCCACCCCTAATGTTGACTCAGCTAATGAAGTCAGTAAACTAGTGTTTGCTATAAAATCACAATGTTTAGTCAAAAAAGGTATCAAATGGAGTCTCAATTCCATCCCACCCCACACCCAAAAATAACAAAATATAACATGGGCTTGAAGATAAATCTCACTTTTCATTTGATGGTTCATTTCTCAGAACTTCAGGGGCCATCCACTCGGCCTGCAAGTTCAAAAAATAGGGATATCTGCACTGTACATGGAAATTAAGATATAAAATATAAATAAGATTGAAAATGTATTACCGTTCCAGCAGTTGACTTTGAAGAGAGAAATGTATGGTGCTTCATGCGGGACATCCCAAAATCACAAACCTGTGCATCACATAAATTCTTAGAGAATCATGGGGAAAAAAGAATAAACAAGCCGTAAACAACTTTTGACTGCAGAAAAGTAACGTATCCTGGAATCCAGGGGAAAATGTTTGTTTTTCCTAAAAATAACTTGTTCAATCTATAATATAATTTCTAACGCACAAAAACATAAATATTTTAAACAAACAAAGCCTAAGTTTTCATGACACATTTACTGAGCTCATAATCAATCACACCTTCACAACCCAATTTTTATCAACAAGTAGATTTGGAGTCTTCAAATCTCGATGAACAATGATAGGATGGCTCGTATGCAAATAGTTCATACCCTTTGCCTGCAAGAAAATGACAATGTGTAACGAAGAAACCAGATGTTGACATCAAGACATCAAAAAAAGCATTGTTCAATTGGTACCACATCAAAAGCCATCCGCATACGTCTTTTTTCATCAATTTCAGTTGTGGAACGATGCAATAGCTTATATAAGCTCCCTCTGCACACAAATCAATTCCATCAATCACACAGAAAAAGGAGAGGGCCCAAAGGGAATAAGTAATAAATTTCTAACTACAGAAACATCCTTCCTGATAAGTTCATCAGCCACATAAATGCATCAACACATGTGTCTAGATACTTATTAAATGTCATAGTTTTGGTCTTGTCAGAATCAGTTAAATGCACAACTAACGTATACATAACACATGTACTTATCCATGTCCATGCATCTATAATATCACTGGTAATTAGTAGTGCTTGAAGATATCCCTGAGAATAGGAGCAACGATAATGTGATGATACAAGAACTAAGAAAAATATGCAATACTCCTCCCATCTGATTCACAAAAAGAACTTATTTGATCAAGGTACAACTTCTAGAAGTAAATAACATTATAGTCCCTCTGTTTGGTAATAGTGCTCCCAGTTTCCTGTATGAATTCTTCTAAGTTAGTCTTCCCATTTCCTCTTCAGGAAAGGGTCCGCTTATTAAAGTACGACTCACCCACTTCTCCATTTTTCTCTTTTTGTACCCCTTACCTAAAAGTTTATCTTTCTAATTAAAAAAACACTAGAAAAGGACCCGCCTAAGATCACTCTTAGACATCATGCCAAGGAAAGTGAGAAAGCAGCTATTACAGAACTGATTGAGTATTTTTTTTAAATTTATTTGTTGGCTTAACTAGAATCAACATGTTCGCGACTTTTTCAGCAAATTACACGAAACATTAGCCTGCTTAATGAAACATTATACTTTTTTGGGACAAAGAACTTTGAAACAATACAAGTTTTAGATGCAGGGAGAACTTAACTAGTAAGTTGATAATATTCAACAAGTGCGGTCCAGAATTTAGAAGAGGAAAAGAGATCACAACCTTGGTAGAAATTCCGTTAGTATGGATAAATTTGGGGGACGAGTGACAGCTCCCATGAAGAGGACAACATTTGGATGCCTCAACCTCAACATAATTTCTACCTGTAAGATGCAAAATTAGGTAATGTTGCAAATATCAAGAAGAAGCTTAACTCCGTAGTTACGATATTACATAGTAAACAATAAATGATTTTCATAAGTATAATGCATAGAAATACATATTTGCGATACTCACTTCACATTTGAACTGTTCTAGTGCATCGCCTGTGATGTCCTGATTCATGAATTTCTTTACAGCAACTTCCTGTCATCATTCATTATAAAACAATTGATGGTCGATTACAATTGCTCACAACCACTGCATCGACATAATCTATGCTACAGTATAGCTCAGCATTTGGCAGAAAAGCTCTTGAAATTTGAAAATAGGAGTGGTTTTAATAGATTTTGGTTTAATTTTTCCATTTTCAGATTGTTCAAATACTGAGTTGATTATGAACAATCAAGTGATGAAGAATATTGTAAACCATGTGCTAATTATTCATTCATTTTCAATAGAATAACTATACTGGGTGAAATCAAATCCCATTTCAGAAAAAAGAACTTACTGTGCCATTCCATTCGGCGCGGTAAACCTCCCCATATGATCCTGAAATTTGAGCATCACACATGACTAATTAGTGGATGAAAGTACAGCTCAAATTACAAAAACAATCATTCATAATCAAGTTGAATACATCCACATCAGATTTTCTATATGATTTTATCTTATTTTATCAAGACAATTATACCAATGTGGTAGGGTTCACTAGTTTCAATAGATAGTGAACCTAAAGTCTTCAGTCTTACCAATACCAATGCGTTCACCAATCTGAAGATGCTCCCATGGAATTTCCCAATCTGCCACTGCAAGCAGCATGGGATCAACTTGTTCTTTGAGCAGAGCGTACGACTTACATGGCAGGTAACTTTCCATTTCAGCTACTTTAAGAGAAGATTCTTTCTCGTTACAACTATTATTAGTAAAATTCCCAACCTCCCTGTAGAAGTCGTTACCTACATGAAAGAATTTAAGATTTAGATTGCATAATAAGGCATTGACTGTATCAACAAGATGCATGAATTTCCATAAACACTTCACCTGAAGCATAACTATAAGCATTATTCTCGAGCTCTTTAGGCCAGCCACCACTAGATTGTTTTTTATTGCCATGAAAGGTGTCAATTCTTGGCAAATGTACTCCAGTAAAAGGTACAATAGAATGCTCAATTCTTTTTTTATATACTCCACTATCAAAAACCAAATTTTCTGATATATGATCTTCTCCAACTCTTTCCATTTCTACTACAACACCATTTGAGGGTGTATAAACATTGTCCTCTGGAGATATATTTTGAGGTATCTGTATGTGATTGGGGATTTCTCCAGCAGTTCTGAAATACTCACAAACATTGTCAACTTTAAAAGCCTGCTGATCTGATGAATTATCAGTGCAAATTGCTGAACCCTCAGATAATCTGCTTGATAATAGAAGAAGATTCCCAGAGTCAACTTTAACGTGCTTGCTTTGAGTTCTATCCAAGGCACCTATACAATCCCCATTTGCATCAACGTTCAAAAAGGAATTTCCTGAAATTGAAGACATAACAGAAGCAGTTTCATCAGCAGGATGTAAACAAATTGCTTGAAATGAGTTGGTAGAAGGACTGTTACCAGAAATAGGTGAACCACTCTTCATATCTAATGCATGACTCTGAAATTGAGAATTTGGTGCTTCAGCAGGAATAAGAGTACCGGGTGCACCCATTAGATCAATTATGTACTCACTGCACCATCAACAGCATTTCAGGTACGTCGCTTGAGGATAATATTCTACTACAATTTGAAAAGTAAATTCAAGCAACAGAAAAGGTAACATAACTACTACACGTTTCATTCCATTAAAAAGAATTTTTATTCATTAAAAGAAACACTAAGAAGATATACATTAACTGGAAAAGTGAATAAGTACAATTCCATTAAAACAAAATGCTGGTGTGCCAAAAAGAAATGATATAAAAGGCTTAGAAAGATACTTGTGAGTTATTTTGAAAGTTGAGGTGCCTATATGTTTCACAATATACCTTCAACGTTGATCATCTCCTAGAATCATTAACAAAAATTAAATCCAAACGCAAGTGCAAACACACTTGCACACATAAAGTTATTGTAAAGAGTTTCCAGTGTAAGTTGGGGTAAATTGGTATTGTAGATCTTTTAAATGTCATTATGGCATGACTGTTGGGTATAGTCATTATAGATTGGCAGAAAGACAGAAGGAAAACATACTATAGTTACATACTCCCTCCATTCCAAAATAAGGTTCTACGCATGATCTACTAGCATGCTTATAGAAAACTTAAATTGTATGGGTCAGAACTCAGATTTATTTATGGAGAAAACTAATATGAACCACAAGTTATGTTCTTAAAATGAAACAAGAATCTTATTTTGGGATAGAGAAAAAAGGAAAGGAAGAACCCTTTTGGGATTGAGTGAGAATATTTTATGGTAGGGTTGTGTTACAGGCGTGGTTGGGAGATGAATAGAGAAGATTAGATTCAACACAGATGAAGAACTTCTCTGCCCTAGTAAACATAAGGTGGTGTCTGGCCTTCTCTAGACTCCAAAGAATAACTCCAAAATTATTGATGATATTATCAACTAAAAATCTAAAATAGAAAACTTATATCAATATGAAACTACTACAAATAATGACAATGCTACATAACTTATTAATAGAAACTGATATTAATATTAAAATTATAAGAGACGCTCTTGTCATGTTGTTATTACATAATGTGTACAATGTTGGCATTTCATTGGACAATTATTGATCTAAAGCTCTAATTACATAATGCATGTGAAAAGAGCTCAAGAATTGCACTCCAATAGCAATGATGGAGATTAGATATAGGTCTCAGACAAAGACTTTTCTAGAGAATTGGTTAATCAGATTGTTGCCATTCCAACCCTTAGCAATAAAAGATCGTTTTTTTTTTGGAAACTAAATTCAAATGGTCCCTTTTCTACCAAAAGTTACTATGAGCTGTTATTGAGACCCGGGGGTATTCAGTTGTCCTCTAAATTCATATAGAACAACCTTGTGTCCTTATCCCTACCAAAATATCCTTTATGCGGAGGGTTTTAAATAATTGTCTTCCCGCTGATGAAAAGATGTCCAGATATCATATCCTCCTGGTCTCAAAGTGTAAGGTATGGTGTTGTATTGCCGAAATCCTTGACCATTATTTATAGCAATATCATTCTCAGATGACTAAGAATGATATTTTAGACTGTGGGGATGGGTTTGACAAACTTAGAAGGATTTTAGAAGGATTTGACTCATCTCTAAAATGCTTCTTCAACGATCAGGGCAGTGGCTCAAAAAACTACGCACCAAATCAGAAAATTTTTTACGACAGCTAGAGAGACTTTGTTTCTTCAACTACCATTGACTACTACTGTTCTAGCCAGCCATCACAAGGCCCCAGAGATTTTGACTTTGATGTACTCCTTTTGTCGCAATCAAACCTTTTTTCTTTTCAAAAACAATAATAATAATAATGTTAATAATAACAATAAAAAACAGCTTCAAAGGACTCTTCTTACGCTACAACAATAAAGAATACAAATAGCTAAAGTAAAAATAAACATGATAAATTGCAGTGATCAGTGTCAAAATAAATTATATACGCAAAAAAAAGCACAATCATATATGTATATTAATAATAAAATAAAATTTTTACCTTCCATTCTCAAATTTTACCAAGTTAACAGCTCCTTCATCAGTCCCAGTATAGTAGCTCCCTTTCACTAGTTTGCATGGAAGATTTACTCTATCTGCAAGTACCTATAAGCACAATGTCTAAATGTCATAAACAAATCATTGAAGAAAGGTTTTCAAAAGTGTTACGGGCAGCTTGGAATGCATCAAAACTTATGCAAAGAACTCTTGTTCTCTATTAATGGAGCTCATCTCCTCAAGAAGATTTTTAAACTTCTATTAAAAATTTACTTTATACAAAATAGAGTTTACTAGTAATACTTAATCAGTAGCACATGTGATTTTCTATTAGTGGAAGTGATAGAGAACTCGTGAAACAAATTTTGAGTGACAAGGGTTTTCCTAATTTTGAATTCAAGTTGCAGTTGGAAAAAGACTATTTTTGAAGAAAACAAAAAATTTTGAAGACTACTTAAGATTGGGGTGGAGAGTGCGAGAGTAGGGAGTGTTTGGCATTGAGGCTGATAGTTACAAGTAAAACTTAAAGTGACTAAAAATATACTCCCTCCGTTCCATTGGACTTTGACAACTTTCGTTTTTTGGTTGTCCCAATAAACGTTGACACTTTCCTATTAAAGCAACTAATTTGTGGTTCTGCACATTTCTCACTCCTCTGCACAAATCTCAACCACACAGTTTTTACTATTCTTATTTCTCACCTACTTTGCACTTGGCAAAGTCCACCGGGACGGAGGTAGTATATATACTTAAACCTCAATTGCATTTTTCAAAACTCAAAGTCCCTCCTGGACTTACTTTTGCATTATGGTACCTCTTAGCACTTCAAATCATCTTTTAGACAAAACTAGAACTTATCTGAGATTTTGTTGGGACAAAAAGAAGTTTTCTCCAATGCAATCACAGTCCGAAATGGGCTCTAAACTGTAAGGCTAACATATATCAATCTTTTGCTAGATTTTGACTAACAAAACTTAAGTACCAATAATTAATCTTCTATCACTATATGGAGGAGCTTAAGTACCAATACTTAATCTTCTATCACTATATGGAGGAGCATTATGTTTTCTGGAATTATACACCTGTAGGTAGAGAGCGATGCAGAATACAAATAAATGCCCAGATATAAAAACTTATCAAAAGTAACTGGGGAATTCAAGTATATACAGAAGCCATTACAACCTTAAAAAGCAAGGCCCTGTGCCGAGAGAGTCCAACATTAAGACAACCAAGTGGAAGTATAATAGAGTTCAAAGAAACCCTTAATTCAAAACTCCGAGCAATCCACCTCCTAGACAATTCTTCAGTATCATTAACAGAACCTCCCATTCTATCAACAACTAAGTCAGCAATTTTCTGAACCAAGATATTTGTAAGAGGTAGCTTCATCAAAGCCCGGCACTCCCTAGATATAAAGGACAATTTATCCTCTAGTTGTCGCAATTCCACATCAGCAGCGCGGTTCACTAAGATTACTTCATGGTCGAAATCGTCTGAAACAGAAATTGCTTCAAGATCCACTAAGAGTGGCATCTTGGCTTGTGACACTTCATTTGAATTAAATCCATAAACATCATAGAACCCATCCATCACCTTCTCATCGTAATTTACAACATTGTAACTCTGCATTGTTGCAAAGTGATGGTCTTCAGTAATTTTGGAAGACAGATACACACACACACACACACACACAAACATAGGAAAAAGATGCTTTAAAGGTAACTATTTTGCCTTTTGTGAATGAAATCTAAAGAACTGTGGTGAAGATAAGGGAAAAAATATTTACAAATTACAATGATACAAGAAGTCCAGACACACTTCTATGTTAAATGATACCAAATTTATTAGTGTTTATAGTGATTCAGACCAAACAAGTGTACATCCACATACTGATGGATTCAACATAAGTTTGATGATCTCATATTCTCATCTCAACACATTTAACGGTTCTGTTCTATATTAAGATTCATAGAGGAGTAAGGAGGAGAATAATAACAAGCTCAATCAATTTTAATTTCTAGATGTAAGACAATAAAAATTGAATGACAGTGGAGTTCATGGGTAATTAAGAAGTCAAAGTTGCACATCTCTGTTTTTCAAGATCTCACATCTTATCTTTAGGGCTCATCAAGAGCCAATCTTTGACATTAGTATTAGTACTACCAATTAAGATAACCCAGTTCCATTAAGCAATTCCATTGATAAGGACTCTTAAGATTCATCAGATTAACAGTGAACACAAAAGTAGGTAAAAGAAAATCAATATATGCAATGGAAAAGGAATCCACAAATAGGTGATCCAAAGGTTCAGCTTACACATAAGTGCCAGTTTACATGTTCTAAAGGTAGAGAGGTGGATGGGGGGAGGGGGGGGGGGGGAGGTCGATGGGTATGCAGAGAAAAACATTCAATTCTAAGTGCACGACCTGAAATGGGCCTGGAACTGTATTTAGCACGAACTCATTGAATACTGATCAGGCTAAGCAGGTAAATAAATTAGATATTATAAACCCAGACTTGCTAACGAACCTTCTAGCATTTAATTCATTAACTAAGTTAGCAATTTGAAATGACTGAACGGAGCAGGGAAATCACAATTCCTATGCATTCCCTACGGAAATTACTCAGAACGTGGAAGGAAGTTGTAATAGATACCCAGTAGCGACGCGACATAAATTCCACGAGGGTCTCAGAAGGAGAACAACCTAAGCTAATCTGTTGCGCAGCCTTGATCTGCGCCGTTTCCGGATCCTCACGGGAATCCGGGTCGGACACGCTGATCGCCAAGGCCAGTTGGACCTGAAACTCCTCCTCAAAGAAATTAAAGTCGGGGGCCGAATCCGACCCCGAATTGAACTGCCCACCAGTGGGCAATGCCGCTGACGAAGACGGCGTGGTTTCGGATGAAGATGAGGTCGAGGTCAACGCGGTGTCTGATTCCCCAAACGGCGGAGGCGGATCAATTAGTGGGGGGCGGTGATGCGGATGATGTTGTTGATCGGTTGCGCCGCTGCTGATGTGAAGTTTCCGGAGTAAATGCTTCATCTTCGACATGGAGTCTCATCGACGAGAGAGAGCAAATCCCAATTTCCTTCTCCCAACTGCTACTCAGCGCCACTTTAGTGTAGAAAATGAAGAAATGGAGATGGAAGATGCGGAGGATAAGCCGCGAAGGGTGAGTTTCTAGTCTTGTTCGTGAAGCTACCCACCAGAACAGTCATGGTAGTATTAACTGCGCATTTTCTCTGCTCCCATTAGACTTCAGAAAAACGTTACGCGCATTTACACTAGTTTACGTTTACAAACTATCAAAACTCAAATCAGCCTCTGAATTAAAAAAAAAAAGTTCAATTCGCATCTAGAAATTGCAAAAAAAATTGTTCAAATTTCATTTTTACAGGTAACCAGACGCAATTTATATGGTACATCCCGTTATTTTGTAATTTTACTCAACTTTTAGGTGTGTTATTAGCGTCGTCTATCATCTTTCTTCTCCGCCTTTGATCATCCTCTTCAAGTCGGCGCATCTTCTCCAGCGATCATCTTCTCCGGTTCGTTGTGATCTTCCTTTGAATTTGGTTTTACAGCGATCATCTTCTCCAGCTCGTGATCTTCCTTCGAATTTTGTTTACAACGATCATCATTCAAAATATTTCATCTGTAGTCTTCGAATTTGGTAAGAATCTCATTCTTTTATTCTATTCTTTTGTTTTCTGATCTACTGTTCTTCATCTATTCTTCATTATTCTTCATCTATTCTTCGTTAGATTTTTGCAAATTGTTTATATTTTTCTTCAGTATTTTAATATGATCACTAGATTATGAGCTCTTTTTTAATTTACTGTAGGTTTATGTTGATCAGTTATGTCTATTTTTTCAGGTATTCATCTACTAAGCAATTCACTATATTTGTATGATTAATTGATAACACATTTTGATGTTATAGTTTCGTTTCAATGAGCAATATGTCTATGTATTTGGTTTATCCTTTTTGCAGATGAAATTGCTTGTACTGGACATGTAATTGAAGACATTGACTCCAGAGGCGAAATCTTTGTTGTTGATTCAAGTAATTCCTTTTGTTTTTTCTTATTCTCTTTTTTTAGTTCTGAATTTTATTTGCACTTTTTATTTTTTTCCCCTTTTTCCCTTGATCCAAATCATTTTATTTTAGCTTCAACTTTTGTTTTTTTGCAGCTAACCATTCTTCTAGCAGTTTGGATTCTATACCACAATCTGATTCTTCCCTTTTAGTTAAAGAAACTGAAGTTTCAGAGCTTCTTGGAAAAACTGTTATGTCAGAGAAAGAAGCTTTTGATTTGTATAATGAGTATGCTTTTAGGATTGGCTTTGGCGTTCGTTATTATACTCTACGGAAGAAAGAAGGTTGTTGCGATGTTAGAGGCATAGAATTTTGTTGCACTAAACAAGGTTCTAAGAAAAATAAAGGTGTACAGGGTAAGGTATTCACCAAAGTTGATCGTCGTACAGGTTGCAAAGCAAAAATTTATTTTGAGTTTAGAAGCAACAGTGAATGGGTTGTGGTTAGACATCTTATGGATCACAATCACTCTTTCTGCCCTGGTTCTTTAGTTCATCACGTGAGGTCTCATCGTGATGTTTCTTCTTCTGAGTTGACATATTTGAATCATTTGAGAAATAGGAGTAAAAATAGCTGACGGTTTTCGCTGTTTAGAAGCTGAAGCAGGTGGCTCTCCTTCAATTGGTTTCGTGATGCGCGATGTCTACAATGAATTGAAAAAAAACAAAAAAAAATGTTTTGAAGGTTGTGATGCAGATACTTTGATTAATATATTTAGGAACAGGCAAACAAATGAAGAAGACTTTTTTTCTCTTTTGAAGTTGATGGTGATGGTTCCTTAGTTAGCTTCTTTTGGAGAGACAAGCAAATTGATGGAGTATATGGCCCGGGAACCCCCGGCCCACAGACTCCTACTACTCCAGCAAAGGCCCAACAGGCCCAAAAGGCCCAACAGGCCCAATTCACAGCGCCCGGAGTACCAAGCAGTCCGCACAACGCACAGGGGTGCCTTCGGCCCCCTGGCCGAAGGCTCCAAATTCTCACAGAACGGGTTTCTCAAGCAAACTAAGAAACTGGGAGAAAACGGCGAAAACAGCAGCCCTCGGCACTGTGAGCCCTCGGCACCAGGGGTGCCATCGGGAGGAAGAGCCCTCGACTACTGCTCTATAGCCGAAGGCATCTCACTCGACAAGATATCCGCCTCACATGCGTACAGATCACCGTATTCTGCACAGACGTCCCATCCAATAGCCGCATTAAATGCGGCCACATGCGGCTGCCAGCGCCAACCAGTTGAGGTGACCCCTCGGCCAATGAGCGCTTGACACGTGTCCCTGCCCGGCATTTATTGCTGCTATAAATAGCACCCCATTTCCTCATTTGTAACCACGCTGAAAAGTGATAACGCACTGAATACACTCTCTCTCTGCTTTTATTTACTTGCTCTGACTTCTCTCTAAATTATTCCCCGTAATAACCCTCCGGATATATACCCCCGGGTAGACTATCCATCATTTGGTGCTCTCGTTGAGAGGTTGAACAATCGAGTAAGAAACCCTCCCCCTCGACCAAACACAAACACTAGCCCTCTATCAAAATGGTGAGGACAACACGTGCCAACTCAAAGAACGTAGAAGACAAGAACCTGCCCCTCGGCGACGTCAATGCCCCCGAAGCCTCTCACAGGGCTCCCGAGGGCGGTGTCCTCGCTGGGCTGGAACAGGCGGCTGTCGACCTACGCCTTCAGATCCAACAAAACGCCCCCGATGCCCGCCTCGGCATCGAGGCCAAGAAGAAAAACTGGAGCGATGACCAAGTCAGCCCTCCGGTTCTCACCATCGACGTACAATCGGCGCTCTCCGCCTTCATCCAAACGCTCACCCAGAACCCGGGAGCCTTCGGCACCCTGGCTCCAGCTCACCCTCAGATCGGGGAAAATATCATACTTCCCCCTCTGCCACACCCCTTCGGAAATCCAACCCCTCGGATGAGGAACGACGAAGGGGTGGTGGCCCAAGAAACATCCTCCCAGGAAGTTCAGTCCCGGGACCGCCATAATGACAACAGGGAGAGGCCCCGTACTTCCGCCCTCAACCGGCTCGGAGGAGGGCCAGACCGCCGAGGGGTCCAAGACCGCCTCGGGGGGAAAGCACTCCAAAGGCCCCAGGAAAGCGGGGGATCTGTTTCGAGGGCAGACGAGGAGCGTCCCCCTCGGGACAAAGGCAAGGCACCCCTTCATGCCGATGATGCTCGGCACCAAATCAACCAGGCCCACTCGGCCCGGGTTCGTTCGCAGGGGGCGGAGACCCTCCCGAGGGACCCCCGGGACGAGATCATTGCGGCCCTCCAACGCCGGCTCGACGAGATGGAGTCCAACAAAGCTCACGCCACCACCTCCACCCCTCATTCAGATCTCAAATACGAGGCCATGATGGCCAAAATGGAGGAATTACAGAAGAAGGTGGCCGAGGGCTCCGGGGAACCCGTCATCCAGCTCCGGACTCGGACGCCATTTACCCCAAGGGTATTGGCGGCCCGGATCCCGGAGAAATACCGAGGGCAACACATACAGCCCTACAGCAGAAAAACGGACCCCCAGGAGCATTACAGCAAGTACCAGAACAGCATGATGATGGTGGGGGCGTCAGACGAATATTTGTGTCGTTGGTTCCTCTCCACCTTAGAGGGACCAGCATACGAATGGTTCAACAGGCTGCCCGAGGGCTGTATTGATTCATGGCAAGAACTCGCCCAGCGGTTCTTAACACAATTTGCCGGGAGGCGTCGCACAAGGAAGCACTTCTCCCACCTCCTAACGATACGCCAGAAGAAGGATGAGACCCTTCGGGATTTCCTGGAGCGCTGGAGGACGGAGGCCGACAAGGTCGACGGTGCTGATGACGGGACCCTCCTGGCCCTCCTACAAACCGTCCTCCGCACCGGCAACTTTTCAAGGAGCCTCATCATTGAACCCCCCCGCGACTACATAAGGGCCTTGCAGCGGGGGGACAGATATGCTGAGGCTGAGGAGGTGGAGAAGTATCACCAGCATCCGGACCAGCAGCCCCCGAGGACTGACAACAAGCACAACCGAGGGCCGGGGGCTCCTCCAAATCGCCCCAAGGCTTCCGGACCCTCTGATGATCGCCCTCGGCAAGGCCAAGCCAAGCTCGGGGGAGGTTATAGGAGCAACCCTAAGACTTGGGCCCAGCCCATTCTCCTGGACCGCCCTCGGACCCCATTGACGCACCCTGTCAGCATCATCCTCGATTTTGCCGAGGAGAGGGGCCTCGTTGAGCGCGACTCTCGCGCACCCCCGGAGGTACACGCTATCAACCCTCAGTTCCCCTACTGTCGCTTCCATCGGCACCAGGGGCACAGGACCGATGACTGCCATCAGCTGAAGACGGCCATCGAGAGGTTAATACAAGCAGGGCACCTGTCCCAATTTGTCCAGAGCCCTCGGCAGGAGGGACCTTCTCACCAGGGTCCTCCCCGAGGGCATCACACGAAGGTGAACGCTTGGGTAAACCCGAATACCATCCCCCTCGGCAAGAAAAGGGAAATTGGAAATTTGGAAGAAGAGGAGGAGGAATACCCCCACTACCAGGAGAAAAAACGCCACATCCTCATGATCACCGGTGGCAATACAGGGGGCGATTCCACCAGCCAACGAAAGAAGTGGGCTCAATCGCTTTACGTGGGGGAAGTCACTCATATGCCCCCGGTAAAACGACTGAGGGAGGAACCCATCACCTTTACCAGCGCGGATCTCCCTCCTACTTCTTCTCCTCACAGGGATGCCTTGGTGATTCGAACGGAGATCAACGACACCATCATTCACCGAACATACGTTGACACGGGCAGCTCCGTCAATGTGATGTACCTCAGCACCTTCAGAGAGCTGCATCTGGAGAGGGGGTCCCTTCGGCCCATTAAGACCCCTCTCGCCGGCTTCACCGGTGATACTATTGATTCCGAGGGGGTAATAACCCTCCCGGTGATCTTCGGCGACGAGATCCATAGAGCCCAGCTCGAAGTGGAGTTCGTCGTCGTCAACATTGACTGCGCTCACAACATCATCCTCGGCCGGCCAGCCCTCGAGGACCTCGAAGCCATCATCTCCATGAGGCATCTCTGCCTCAAGTTTCCCGCCGAAGGGGGCATTGGCTACTCTCGGGGGAATCAAAAAATTGCCTGCGCCTGCTATCTTCAGGTCACTAAGAAGGTAAGCAAGACGGAATTC